TAATGGACAGAGCAACAATTTCCACCAAAACTATGATCCTCTATCACATCACTATCAACTGAAATACCCTTCCCAGTCACACTAGGAACAGCTAACTAGCTTAAGACTGAATCTCTGTATTCTCTCAACCAATATTATTACATGTATGAACGCCACTATTCCGTAAATGTCAAATGAGTCCATATTCTACTAATTCCAACTCTTTCCCCCTCCCCCTAAATATCACACACCCTAAATGAGACAGAAGTTGAGAATATTACAAATCAAATGCATGATTTCCCACTAATCTCAGTGGGAGTTTATAAAATCCATTAAATGCAGGACGTTTTCCCCAAGAAAAAAAAAAAGGCAAGATCCTATTTCTCAAGGTTAGTAGTCTAATAATATCCCTGGGTTTTGATAATTTAAGGCTTCATCACAGTTGAAAGTTTTTTCTTCTATGATTATACAGCTGTATTTTTATATTACTATTATTATATACACACATTTACACACATTCATACATTTAAATGCTTTATTCAACTATACATACATAATTCCACTAATACAAAACTCTGTTTATACTCTTTGTTTTAAGATAAGATTATTCACATGGGGAATTAGTCCAGTACAGAAAAGGCAGTAAAATTATATAGTTACAGTTTGTTCAATGTATCTCCAGGCATGCATAAACTCATTTAGAAGACTTTTGCTCTGGCACAGAAACCTCTATGTTTCTTACTCCCCTACTACTGAATTTAAACCATACAAGAGTTTTAACGTGTACACCAAGTATCCTAAAAACAAGCCACCAAGCCATTCTGGCGAGACGGGAGGAAAGCTAACAAACTCCTCGAGAAGGCTCAGCCTGCCGTAGCTTGGGCTGCAGCTACTTCATCTCCACGAAACTCCCTCATCCTCACCAGCTGGGCCTGTCAAAATGGGCATTTTCCATGACAGATACACAAAGATTATCTCACTCTCCCCTTTTTTCCCCCTGAAAGTAAACGGGGTGTTGTACCCAAACAGGAAGATTCTTCCCTCTGGTCAAAAACTAAGTAAATAATTTTGGATTTGTCCCATTTTCTTCTTAGGTCCTTTCCATTGGTCTGAGGAAAAAAACGGGTGAGGCAGGAAGGTTCCACAAAACTGAGCTTTAGTAATTCCTGTTAAAATAAAATGGTTTAAAGACCCAGTGTGGTGGCTGCTGTAAAGCTGCAGAGTTAAAAGAAGACAAAAAAAAAAAAAAGTCTTACAAAAGGAGAGAACACGCTAAGCAAATGACGAATATACCTGATGAACTCGATTATCTTCTACATTTAGTCATTTTTACTTTTTTCCTAATGTTTGCTTACAAGAGTAGACATTTTCTCTATCCTCTCTACTCTGAGGCTGTGGATTCACAGGAACCCTTCTGCAGCTCCAAGCACCTGCCCCGGGCTGCCAGCTCCTCGCGTGTGCCCATCCTGTCCCCAGCCCGCATCCTGCTGCTGCTCACTGCCATCCTTGGCACCACCGACCACAGCCCCACACAGAACATCCCAAGGGTCTAAACAGGCTTACAAGCTTTTTTTTTTTTTTCCCCTTTAAAAAAACCACCTTATAATACTTGACAGCGCTACACTGAAGGCGCAAGAAGCATTTGCCTCTAAGTCACAATTCCTGACAAAAAATGCCAAAGTACAAAGACTTTCAGAACAATAATCATCATTAAGAAGCAAAGGCAGGCACATTATAATTGTTATTATTTTGCAGCTGCCCTTTAAAGCAGGGAAATAAGGTGATGCAGTTAATTAAAACTAACTGAAAGTAAACATGAGTTGTACAGAGCATTCAAATACAAACATTTTATAACATCTTCAGAAAATAAGTGAAACCTGTGGGTGGGAGCATTGCTTCAAGATGACAAAATATTTAACATGATATCCCTTTATCCAAAATAATTGTACAGTAAAAATTGTCTTTAGAACACCTGTGCAAACATTAATTAGTAGAGAAATAAAATACAAAGACTGGACAAACTGATTCAACAGTCGTACTATACCAGGGCCTAAGGAACTGACAAAACTGGTGTCACAGCCAGCCTAAGCAAAGGGAGCCTTAATACTCCGTTATTTACCCGATAGGACACTTAAACGGATGCGTAAGAAGTGCTGCTGTAAAAATACGTATAAAGATGATAAAAGAGAACTGTGTCCCTGCTGATCGAACTACATGACACTGTCATGTGAGAGGCACAAAATGAAAGCGGGAGAAAAAGCGCAGGAGACGTGTCCCACGGAACAGGCAGCGTAATGCCAGCAGTGCCTTAACCACCAGGTTTGCGCGGGCAATATTCCACAGACTCTCCGTTTACTCCATGTGAGAGTCAAGCCCAAAGGATACTGGAAACACAAACGGCTCAGTATACACAAAGAAGCCAGTAGTGCCTTAACCACCAGGTTTGCGCGGGCGATATTCCAGACTCTCCGTTTACTCCATGTGAGAGTCAAGCCCAAAGGATACTGGAAACACAAACGGCTCAGTATACACAAAGAAGCCAGTTCTCACCTTTGCACGTAAAGATGCATACCCATAAAGAAATTACTTTCAAAAAAATTATTTCCTTTAGGAAAGAACATTGTCCTTAAGCTGCACCCAGCACTGATTTATGGCATGCAGCAGGGCCCCGTAGCAATATATTGCCCTGCTATTCACATACATGTCATAACGCTCAGTTCCTGTGTTGCTTGACTCATTCTTCATCGTCCCATGATTTTTTAAATAATTTTTTCACTAGAGAAGAATAAAACCTCCTCAAACTCCCTCTTAAAAAAAAAAAAAAGCATGCATTACTTTAAGATAGCAAAAAAGAAAAGCAGACTGTAAAACCAAATCAAATCACAGAACCCCAGCAGCTGCAGCAATGTGGCACTAGCAAAGATACAACAGTGCAAACAGATCACGGTTTCTTTACTACTGCTTTTACCAATCTTCTGTTCAGGTTTCTTGCTTGATGACATCCTCTTTCAGAAATATGCACGCTTCCGTTACAAAACATTGGGAAGACAAATAAGGACCCCCTCCGAAGCTACCACACGTTCTAGTCTCTCCTCCCCAGAAATAACTCTACGGTTCCTACCATCACACAAACCCACAGCCAGTGGTATTTTCACTTCCTTGCTTTCCTCTACCCACAACTCTAGACACCTGGTAGGACCCTGCCATTTTTTTCCTCAACAGGTTTTCTAAACCCCATCATTTGCTATCCAGACCTAAACCTGAACTCACCTCCTGCACTCCAACATAGTTTTCTTTGCTTCCATTGTAAATCTGAGACTAACCCCCTCCCAGTTTTTCTAAATTCTGATCTCCCTTTTAGTATACCACACCCTTCCTTGAAACCAGATTACTGATTTTAAGAAAGCTGCCGTATTTCAGTTAAAAATCCCTTAAAATACTGTCGCTACACTGTACTTTATAGTTTCAGTATTTATTTCAATTATACAATTTCTCCAAACAAGTTAAATATCTTTTAAGACATTTGTCAGGTCGATATCATTTAAGAGATACACAAATTATTAGGGAAGTAGCTGTATAAATGTTTGTGAGTTTTTGAAACAAAGAATGAGTAATTTTTACGATGTTGAACGCCACACTGAGTTGGTCCTAAAATCAGTCCCCACTGAAATCAATGTCAAGAAGAAGGGGTTCTTTAAAACTGCTTTCTAAATTTCTTTTGTTTGTTCTGAATTCATTCTCTACATAGAATTTGTACTTAATGTCAGTCAGAAATGCAGTCTGGAGTGCAAAACGTGCAATGGAAATTTGCTGACAAAAGGTCTGACAAGTGAATCAAGAAATGGAAGTATTTCTAAAAGAAGAGTTACATCATCACTGTAGTAATAAATCAAATGTAATTAATGAAAACTTTTTCCACCTTGAAAAGTCACATGCATGACAGACACTCTTCAGCATCCTTCCTGAGGTTGCCTTTAGGAAGATTGCAACCACATGAAATCCTATTAGAAGGTGCTGAACTCCTACATTGTGACTGTTCCGGCAGCTTCTACATAACAAAAATGGAATGAAGTACCATACAACTTTTCCCCCCTTATTATGCAAAATCCTTATCAAATTCAATAGTGTGACATCGCTCAAAATCCTGACTAACAATGGCACCCAGGAGGTCAAGAGATGTCGTCTTTGTTTTAGTTTCACGTGCTTTTCAGTCTATTAACGTTAAAAGAAAAAGAACCTTCACAGAAATAACCGATAAAGATCAAACCTAACTACACAATGGGAAGGAAATTCAGAGTTAAAGCTGGTACTTAGCTCTCCAGGCAAACCATTGTGCCCAGGGACCCTGCAGCAGAACGATCCCGCGGGTCACACGCTGCCCAGGAATAGCAAGGTGAGGTAAGAAGCCCTCAGCTCCCCACTTGCCCTGCCTTTGTGGGTTTCAGTCGGGGCCAGGGACGTGGATTTTAACGCCGTATTTGTATTTCTTGGGAGAAAGTGCCGGGCAGCTCCCGACTCCTTTGTGCGGCGGGTTGCGAGTGGAATGCAGCATGCGGCACACGTTCCACTCGCAACCGGGAGGACAAAGGATTCAGTGATGGGGGGGGGGACAATTAGTCCCAATTAGGCCTATTTCGCAGCTGAGTGTAAGGGCTGGGGGAAGGGAGCTTAAATTTTAAAGCAATGGGTCCCTCAGGCGAGTTGAAGTGAAATCAGTAAAGTGACAAGTTTCAGAAAAGGCACCCCATCAGTCACCGCCGGGGCAAGCTTGGTGAAGGCGGTGGCACTGCGCCTCAGGCAGCAAGAGCCATCTCCAGGAGGTGATGGAGCGGTGTTCCTCCACGTTACGCTACGTAAGACATTTGATAACCATTTTGCCTATTAGCTAATGTGACGCACCGATTTTTCCAGTTTTCAACCCACTCCCTCAGCAGCAGTTCCCAGTTGCCACGCGCACGCAGGCAGACACGCAGACAGACACGCAGACAGACACGCACCGAGGCAACGTCAGGAATACTCACATATGCACATGCGGAGGCTGGAACCTGCTCTGATTTATGTTGTAGTGTGTAAACGCCTGCGTTGGGTTGGAGCTGTATTCATCCACCGTTATGGTAACTTTGCCTTGTGAAGGAATTCCATGAGCCATCCTTCCTCCTTATGGACATGAGCAGCTCACAACTTCCCAAGGCCAGGAGCGGGGTAGGGCATTGTGTTCCAGGTGGCTCCCGGCTCCAAGCAGCAACTCATCAACCCCACGGACCTCTGCCAGGAGAGAAAGACAGCACACGCCGCTATAAACTCCAAGGAGATGTAAACAGACGCAGACATATTGCTCTATGCTCTCCCAATTCCCATTCAAAGATCTTTTTCTGTATTTTTGATGTACCCATCACCCAACTCTCTAAGCATTACTATTCACAGGGTTTTTTTATTACTTCATCATTTAACTCCATCATCATTAAATACATCCAAAGGGTGAATGCTCAAAATAAGGCTTTATCTTCGGGGGGCGGGGGGAGATCTGTGTTGAAAGCTCCAGTTAAATATGCCACATTTACTATTCTTTATCTATTTGTGCTAATTGCAACCATGAAAATTAACAAGTGCACCCAGTTTCCTGAAGGACAAACGGCTTTCCACAAATACACACATTTCCTTTCAAGGCCCTGTTTTAGCTTTACAAAATAAGTTACATCTGAGAGACTTATGAGAAGCTGATGCAAAGCAGAAAATTTAACAATTGCAGAGCAAAAGGTACACCCAAATACCTTTGAATCAAAGTATTTATCTGTCCAGAGAAAGGCTAGTATCTAGACAACATTAACAAAATATCCATCTTACAGTGCACCAGCAATGAAACTGGTTTGGATTCATCACCAGACAGTAATGATTTATCTGACAGATTTAAGTGCGATTTTATGCATAAATATTTCTGCACAAGATGAAAGAAATATGCTCTTCCCTCTCTATGCGTCCCTATCTTTCACTTCTTCAAAGGGCTCTTAAACGTATTTTGCATTAAGACTGGAAGCATTCTATAACATGAGCCTAAGCCCAATAGCCAGAAACTTCCCAAACCTGATCTGCTGAGTTCCCTGCACAGAACCTGAGCTTCCATTTCTTCAGTCCATAAACTGAGGATACCCCAGATGCCTTCCTTTCAGAGGGACTTTGTGAAAACTGATCAGCTGGCGTTCGAAGAATACTTTCAAGATGAGCAGCTCTTTAAAAGCCCTGGTTATGAGGCAGATGCTCCACTGGGGCACGCTACCCTAGCTGCAAGGACTTACGTGAAACCGTGACACTTTGCGTCAGTTGATCCCCCTTCTAGTTGCTACACGCAATAGTGGATTTGTCGTACCTGGTGTGTAATTTACAGAAGTAAATCAGTGCTTACTGGGAAGACAAAGAGATAGGAAAGAGAAGAGAGTGACTTGAGCCCTGGGCATCAAACTAAGCAATATTTTTCCAGTGCGATATTCCTGGACTTCTCTTAGCTCCCAGATAGAAATGTGTTTGCCATGTGTAACGTTAAACATTTGGAATCTTTGATTTGTATTCAAAATATATTTTTAATACAAAGACTAATTTCCAGTTTGGCATGAAGCACGATAAAAATGCCCTGCAAATGGCAGATGGCCTGCTATAGGCCATTTATTTTACTATTTTACAACCTCAGGCCTATGTAGGCTTCCATATGTTAGTTGGGTTAAGACATTCTGCAACCTTCATTCCAGTAATTGGGTTCTATCCTTCATCTTCTTTAGCTTTGCGGGGGGAGGAGGGGGGGGAAAGATGATGATGAAACTAAACCATAAAGTTCCCATTTAAAAACTGAGTCACTAGTGAGACAGTACATCTCCGCAACTAAGGTTATGGTCTGGTCTTTGCACTAATTCCCTCTCGTAAGAATAAGCGCAGTAGTTTCAGAAGTAAAAATCAACAAGGTGAGCTTTGCTAAACCAAATCTTTGCTAAACCAAATCTTTGCTGTGTTAGATGCAACGTAAGACGCGTACAACAACTGCTCACGAATCATAATGTAGTGGTTACCACACCAAGTTTGCAGCTGTTTCCTTAATTTCCCTTACAATTATATTTTAGTGTTATTTTGCATAACAGTAAAACACAACACCTGCTTCAAATTGCAGTCCTGTTCCAAGTACTGTAATTCTTTTGAGATACGAACTAGGAAGAGTGTGCAACACAGAGCGGCATAATTGCCCTGCACTGAAAAGTAAATACAAATGAAAACATCTTCCTGTTAGAGAAATGACTGTCATTAACAAGAATGCTAGCCATCAAAGCTCCCAGGAAAAAAACTAGGTTTTTCTTTTACACAGCAAGAACTTTAGCGTCTGCATAAATTAAGAAGTAGTGTGAAAATTACATGTCTAATGTTATTTTTTCGCAATTAAAAGCTACAATATAAAACAACACGTTAAACCAACAACAAAAATATGCTTGGGCTTTCAGAAAAGCTAAATCACGCTGTTTTCAGTAATCTAGCATAAGAAAGGTCAGAACATTAAATTTACTATTATAGTTCACTCATGGAAAAAAATCCAATTTGTTCATGAGAGTGAATTATACATAAAGACAATAAGCATTTTTTTACAAGGTTTATAACAATCCATGTTACAGACAGAAATTACAACTAACCGGCATAAAACAAATGATAAGAGGATACTTGAATAGCTGTATTAAATACTTTAAAGTTGACTTTCAGTAAGATTAGAAGTATGTAAGATGCAATTGCTTCCCATTGTTCCAATCTTTAATCTTAAGAATAAATCTCTATACTTAAATTAAGACAAAGCCGAACAAAGCATCCTTTTAAAATGAAATTCAACAACAAATGCCGGACTAGAAAAAAAGTAAAATTTGAAGCTGGCTTCTGTGTCAATTCTCCAATTTCCATTTAGTGCTCCATAGAGTACTACAGCTCACCTACCAGAAGTATCTAATTATTACCTTCTTTACTGTGAACTTCTCTGAAGAAAACATCAAAAAGGAGCTAAACACTTCAAAACTTTAAAAACATTTATTTTAGGCCCAAGATTAAAAAAAAAAAAAAAAAAGGCTACTTTCAATCACTATCGTTCTTCTTTCTCCAACTGCAACCACGCTTTGAAGATTACATACAGGAGATGAGTACAAAAGAATAAAGTTGCATTATTTTCCACATCTGTCAAGTAAAACAATGTGCAATATCTTCCACACCTTATGTGGCAGTTCCAAGTAAGAATGACTATATTAAAAACCTAAATGAAGATTTTTTTTTTTTTTTAGCATGTTGCGTTTTCCTAAACATAGCTGTTATCCTGGGAGCAACAACCCTCTTCCAGCGTGGGTTTGTACCGACAGTGAGACAGGAGATGTGCTATTGTATACATCTGCTCCGTTTTACAGGTATAAACCGGCACTTTTTCATAAAAGGGCTGACACAAACTTACGCGCAGCTAATTTTAAATCAGCATACAACTGCAGTGGCAAAAAACTATCACAAAATATGCACAGATAAGTAATTTTAAAACGCACCGTTACATTTCACGGAGAGCTACACACACCGGCTCTACGTCCGCACACGCACACACAGCCACACGAAAAACGCATTTCCCCCGAATAAAATATTTACGCCTTCCTCATCTCAATTTCAGCAATTTGCCTTCTGGCTGCTCTCGCGTAGCAGAACATTGTGAAAGGCAGGAGAAGGAAAGGGTTAATCCCGTGTCAACACCTTCTGTTGATGCATCCACTATCCCGACACCGTTACAGCAACACAACACGTTACACCCACCCGGGCCGCGGGCACGGGCCGCTGCAGCACCCCAAACCC